CAGTCCAGTCCGACATTCCATATTCTCAGTGGCAAACCGGCTGCTCACAAGACCCCCCCCAGCAGGATGGGACCCGCCTCTCAGCAACTCCTGGATGCAGTCTTGCCACACCTGGTGATGTGGGAGCACAGAACCAGAAAGGCTAGTAGCCCTGGGTAGCCTTCACTGCTGTGAGTTTGCCCAATCCCCTTTTAAAGCCACCCCAAATGGGGGCCATCTCTACTTCCTGCAGCAGTGAATTCCACAGCTCAACTGTAGGTTGCATGAAGAAGGACTGGCATCCTATTGTTTTCGGCCAGGATGAGCAAGCCGCTGGGAGCTATCCAGGGTTCTGCTTCCTTCCTTGATCTGACAGCCGTCAGATGTCACCAACTTCCCTGTGAGCCTCGGGGAACCACCGAATGACCCAGAGGCTGCCCGCACCGAGCAACACTCAGCGAGAGGCGTAAATTTCTTCAGCAAAGAGAATGTAACTTTTATGCCATGCCATGAAATCAATATGCAATTCGCATATTGATTTTATGAGTGTACTTTTATTTTATTCCCACAACCACCAGCAGCCCTGTTACAAGCTGCTCTGAGTACAGGCTGGGAAATGTGGCAAATACATTTTAAAATTAATTAACAATGTGGTCATACTTTCTAGTCCAGATGTTTTTTAATGTTCCGTGTTCACAATGTCGAACTTCAAGGAACCCTTTCCACACTGACACATCTGCTGAAGAACCCGTGCGTGGCACTTCCTTGCACTGTAGAATAATGATGTTTTTAGCGGAAAGGAGTTTATAGAGCTCTAAGCCAACCCTCTTCTCAGGGCTAAAGTATTGCAGCTCCAGCACCCTGTGATCAATGGGCATCCGGCCTTCCAGTGAAAGAAGGCTCACCACCTTCCAAAACATCCAGTCCATGTTGAGCAGCTCTCACCTTCGGGAAGTTTTGCCAAACGTGTTGCTGAAATTACTTCCCTGCAACCTTCAGCCTTTGGTTCTAGTTCTGGAATCTGGAGAAGCAGAACAAATCTGTCCTATCTTCCAGACGGCCGTCCTTTTGAATGTTCTGCAGTCTTGTCTTCCCATATCATCTCTTCCGGTTAAGCACCTCAGGTTAAGGCAGCTTCAACCATTCCTCACAAGCATTGGTTTCCAAATCCCTCCCTATCTTAGTTGCCTTTCTCCGGACTTGCGTTAACTTTGCAGTGAACTTCTTAAAATGTGGTGCCCAAAACCGGACACCGCATTGCGGAAGATTCTGTGTCATTTTCTATAGTGAACAATCAGGTCTGTTTTAGAAACATAGAAACAGAGTGAGTCGGAAGGGAACTCCTGGGCCATCTAGTCTGACCCCTGGCTCCAGCCGGCTCCACTCATGACATGGCTACCGTGTGCATGTCCAGCCTGTCCTTGCTCACCCTCACCCATGGGGCCTCAACCACCTCCCGTGGAAGCCCATTCCACACCCCCGGGGTCCTAACTGTCAGGAAGGACTTCCTGGCATTCAGATTGAACCCTGGTTCCTTGAGCTTGGCTCCGTTGCAGTGCGTCCTGCCCTCCCCTGCAGGGGAGAATAGGTCTCTGCCCACCATGTTTTCCTTCCTTCCTTCCTTCCTTCCTTCCTTCCTTCCTTCCTTCCTTGAGTGCCACCCCTCAAGAGTGAATGCAGCCGTCCTGTTGTTGCCTACAGTCAAAAAGGTGGTGCAGGTTTTTGGATTTATTAACTTACTTAAAAAACAAGAAAACAGCATGATCTCTTTGACCAGAAGCAAGGAAAGCTCACAAATGACTTCTCTTAAGGAATGGAAACCATGCCCACCATTACCTTGCAGTTAGACACATTCTGGTGGAGCACCAGTGGTGGGTGGGCCAGTCAGTCAGTCCCCAGACATTTTACAGAAGAAAACAGAAGCACAACATCCCGACAACACTCCACACAGAAAAGACCCCCACCCAGTTTAAGACAAAATTCGTGGGCGATTAGGTAATCCGTGGCTGCTAGATACAGTGGCTAGCGGAAGCGCTGTGCCTTTGTGCAATAGTTGCTGGGGAACATGCAGTGCAATAGTTCCTGGGGAACATGGGCAGGAGGGTGCAGTTGCAGGCTGGATCCCATGTGGCCCGAAGAGGAGGCTCGGCTCGGTGGGCCCCTTCTCTGATCCAGCACCTGCTTTCCTTGCGCTCTTACCATCGTGCTGCCGCACCCTGCGCTTTCTCCATTCATTACACTACCTGCTACCCTAGTACCCTCCTCTGGGTTAAAATTCAGGGGGATTTGCATCTGGGAAAGTGGACCTTAGTGCACAGAAGCTTCTGTTAGAATGCATTTGTTCATCTCCAAGGTGCGCCACAAGAATTTTTTTTCCCCCGTTCTGCTGCAGCAGTCTAATGCATGGCTGCTCCTCTGGGAATTAATTCTTTTTCTTAAAGTGTATATATTTGTAAAACACAAAATTGCCTTACAATCTGTTTATCAAGAGCGGCAAAATAAGCCTCAGCAGCTGCTCAGCTGCTGAAATGGCAGGCTGAGCGTCTTAGCGTCCGTGCGCCCGCATTTGTCTCATGCGTCCTGGGAGATGCCACCCTCCCACTAAGAGACTTAACTTCTGGGGGGCAGCTGAACCCCGAAGGCTGGCAGAGACAGAGCTCACTTGTAGCAAAATTCCAACCTAGGCAGCAATTCACCAGGGAAAGCCCTTGGGAAGTAAGAGCAGGCTCTGGTAAACAGGGGGAGTGCAAACGTCTTTTTCCTTCCTCTTCTCCTTTTGGAAGGACGGAGAAGGTCTCGCGAAACCCACAGCTCAAGGACAGAGGATGTGCTTTGCATGCAAAAGGTTCGAGCTTTTGTTTCCCCAGCATCTCCGGGTATTGTTTTATTTTAAAGAAAGGACTGGCCAGCAAATGATGGGAAAAAGAAATTTCTCTCTGCCTCAGATGCCAGAGCCTCTTCCTCAACCTGGTCCCCTCCAGCTGTGCTGGCCGGGGGATGCTGGGAGTTGGAGTCTGGCACACTGGGAGGGCACCGGGCTGAGGCAAGCTGCTGCTCGTCTGTCAGCGTGTTGCCTTTTTCAGCCCACATTTGGTCCCGGAAGTGAAAGGCGATGGGGCCAAGCACCTCCCTCCGGCATACTTCACTTCCAGGCGCCCACTGCAGGAGCGAAGCATTAGAAGGATGGGAGGGAAAGACTGTGCCAGGGCCAGGAAGCCAGCAAAAAGTCTGCAGACTCTGGGAAAGAGCTGTGGCCAAGGGAACAGGGCATGGCTGCCTGGAGAACCGCGGCCTGATTAGGACCCCCACGAGGCCAGATCCGGCTCCCTGCTCCTGGGTCGGCCACGCTGGTTTAGGTGAACAAATAGCTTGACCTGGTATAAGCCCAATTCCCTTTGTTCTTCTGTGTCACGCAAAGGCCAATTCTGCAGGACCCGATAAGCAACTTTGCATATATTTGAATTCCCTTGGCGTTCTCCTTTCTAGTCCTTCTGATCCCTGCATCAAACACGGTCTGTCATCTGCTTGTGCGTGCACTCCCTCTCTCTCTCTCTCTCTCACACACACACACACACACAGAGTGCAGGTTGATGCAAAGTTTTCATGCATCCCCCCCCTCAACACACACATTCCCCACTCCCTATCGCCTCTCCCAGCCACACTAACATGGAGCTCTTGGCTCCTTTCCCAGGGCATATGGGACATATTCCACAGTGGGTGTTTCCGAGGTGACAGCCATTGCATGTGATGCTCCCGTTGCCAAGGTAACTTCCCGGTAACAGGTGCGAAAGCATCAGCAAACTGCTAGGGCATGAATGAAGTCTGGGATAGCGTTTCTGTCCAGCTGTAACTGGGAAGGGGAGAGGCAGCGAGGGGAGAAAGAGGAAGCCCCCTCTGCAGGCTGTTCGGAGCCTAAACATGGCTTTACCCTACAGCAGGGGTACGGGAGCTCAGGGATGGGGGCAGAATCCAGCCCGGGGGCAGCATTGGCCTGCAAGGTTTTGCACTCGGCCCCCTGGCACTCTCCTGGCTTTTGCCTCTAAGGGTGAAATCCTTCCTAAAGCTTAGTCTTCCCGCAAGAGTCTCCCCAAACTGGAATCCAGCCCTCAGGCTGGGCGAAGCACAGCACCCCGACCCACTAGAGGCCTCTGCTGCCCCCATGCCTCCCAGCAGCCCAGAGAAACACGAGGCCTGCTCTCTGTTTCCCTCCCATTTCTCTCTCAGCTCCTGTGTGTTGGATTTCAGGCCACACGCCTCTGAGGACGGGGCGTTTCGGAAAGCACGATGCACATTGGACGGATGGGTCTGTGCTGGGAGCCAGGTGAATAGAACTCGTGTGCAGCAACCAGCTGTCCTGCACTTCTCTGTGCTTGACGGAGAATGTGACCACCGTCTGTCTATGCAGAGAACTCTGCACATTTCCAAGTCAAGACCGACCCTCTCCAACAGGGTTTGGCGAGCGTGAGTTGTCTTGACTGCATTTTGCACTGGATCGTTGCACGGGGAACGTACATATCAGCCAGCCGATGAATCAATAGACATCAGTGGCCATCCCGGCAAAGAGCAGGAGCTGCTTTTCCACCCTGCACCCCAACAGTTGCATGCACACCTGAGGAGCTCAGTTCACCTGGCTCCCAACACAGACCCTTCCGTCCGGTGTGCATCGTGCTTTCTGGAATGCCCTGTCCTCAGAGGCGTGTGGCCTGAAATCGAACACACAGGAGCTGAGAGAGAAATGGGAGGGAAACAGAGACGAGTTTAAACAGAAGGGGAAATCGTGCATTTCCACCTTGCACCAGTACCCGGGTTGCTCTGACAATGGACGTAGTAGGAAGCCGAGCCAAATGGGGGGGGGGGTGGGGGGGGGAGCCATTGGATGGCCCAGTCAGGGTGCAGGTTGGGTTGCAAGTTGTGTGGCAGCGAGGATGCTTCCCCCCACCATTTTTTATGAATGAACTGAAATGGCTTCCAAACAAGCAGCAATTTACTAACATCATCTTTTCTCTGTGTTTTCTTTGCAGCTAACAGTTCCCTGCTGGGAGGCGGCGGCGGTGAGTCTTCTAATTGATACCTTTTTTTTCTTCGTGGCTTTCAAATTAATATCTCCACTGATTTGGGAGGGAGGGGGAGACATGGGACATGTGGTGGGGGAGACGTGGGCGCTTGCAGACGGCTCTGCGGCTTGTCTCGTAGAGAACACGAGAGGCAGAATGCACATCTGTATCTCCCCCAACACCCCGTTTTCCAGCTGTGCCCAGGTTCTTGGGAGCTCTCCCGCAGGGCCCAAAGGTGATGCCCTTGCCTCATGGCAGCAGCGGGTCCCAGTGGACCTCCAGATGTTGTTGGACTGTAAGCTCATCCTTCCTGCCTGGCTGGGGCTGAACAGTGTTGGGGTTCACAAGCTACCCTGGAGTCTCCACATGCCCTGCCTGATTGTTTGTTCCCGCCTCTGTTCCGTGTTGTTGTCATGGCAAATAGCGATCGAACGGCTTCTTTTTCTCTCTCTCCCTCTTTCCCTTCTAAAGTTGTCTCAGTTAAGGGCTAGCGGGGAAATGCTGCCTGTTCGGTAATGTGGTGCCTGAAGGAGTGCTTCCACATGTTGCGTTCCTCTTGCACTTAACCGCTAAAGAGTACGGGAAGAGGGAAACCTGCCTTTGACCTGGTGCAGCGTGGCCACCTTGGCTAGTGCCGTCTGGCCTGGCGCTGGGCTGTGGCACCCTTGGCTAAGACCCCCCGGCGTCTCCGAGCCCCACTGTCCCCAGCTGCTCTCGCTTTTCCTTCTCTTGTCGTGAGCTACTGCTTGCTGCTTTGATGGGCAGCAGAGAACCAGGGAGCACGTCCATCAGGCCACAGAGGCGGCAGGTGAGCAAGCAGGTGGCGAAGGAGCGGGGAGCAAGCCCGGGGCTCCTGTTCATGGGCGAAAGCCCACGCAGAAGCCTGACCGTCTGGCTCTGGCTTCCGGGGTTTCCAGTAGAGAAAGGGGTTTCCCATCATCCAGCTTGGCAGAAGGAAATAACCGTTGGGAAGGAATAACAAGGGAGCCTGAGGCTCCTGGAGCGTTATTCATTGGTCACTTTACTATATGTTTACCCGTCGTCTCAGGGCCAGCCCTCCCTAGGCCGTTTAAGAAATGTTGAAAGCAAAACAGTTGAACAAATTGTGTTCATGAAGAACTGCATCTGATAAAATCATACGCCAGCCCCAAATCCTGGGACTGATGCTGAATGAATGGGGGCCCCGGTCCTGAAGCGGCGGGAGTCCTGACGCATGATGTGCTCTCTGCAAGGAGGAGGACACCTCCGGGGCACCTGGGGCTCTTACAGGAATGCCACCAGATGCCCTGTGCTCCACGCAAGCGGCAGGCTGTGCTTGGCTTCGGGCCTGGGAGGGCCACAGAGACTCCCGGGATCCAGCTGCAAGGGGGCGCGTTGCAACAGCTGGCTTTCTGTGTCGCCTTGTTCTTCCATGTGCACACGGAAGGGCGCCCACTCTTGGGAAGCCGGCAGACACATGGCATCTCAGCTGACACACCAGACTGCGGCAGGGTGTCCTTCTGAGTTGGCTCCCAGGGAGCTGGCCATGGGTCCTGTTCCCCTTCCCGAATTTTTTCCCTGGGCAGTGCGCTGTGGCTCTGCCCAGGGGGTGAAGCAGCCTCGGCCGTCTCACGTGGGTGCCTTACCCGGCCAGCCCCAGGCCTACAGGAGATGGCAAGGAGAGGCGCATTCTGGGCACATGTCCCCACCGGGGGTATTTCCCTGTGACATACGTAGCAGCGCACGGCGATGAATTAGACGCTGCCTCTCCCTGCAGGGCAGCTCACTGGCATTACTGTTAATGTAACAACAGGGCAGCATTATTTGCTTGCTTAATTTTTGTACTGCCCTGTACCTGAGGCGCTCTGGGCGGTTAACGGAAGTTGATACTCACACATTCGAGAGCGCAGGCCGATTCCAAATGGACGTGCCCACGGGGTCATCCACCGCAGGGTGGTTGGCAGAGGACCTTGGGGGCAAGGAGGGCGCAGCTGGGACAGAAGTACGTGTGGAGTGTTATCCAGTCCTCTTGACCACAGCCCTTCCCATAGGGAAATTCAGTTGTGTGTGTGGGGAGGGGGTGAATTGGGGAGGAGGCTTCTGGTGGACAGGTGTTCCCCACTTGCGCACCCCCCCCCCGAAAAGCTGTCAAACTCCTCACCCCAAGCCTGGCACAGACTTTGTTACAGGGGATGGGGGGGTTCTTTTTTTAGAAGTGGGGGTTTCACATCAGAATATGGAGGAAGATGGAGATTTCTGTGTTGCTTCCCATCGCAAAAGCTCTCTCAAAGCCACTGGACTCACAAATTCAGAAGGCCGTCATTAATATAATAGGAGAAAAGCTCGTAAAACTGCACAAAATCTCCTAAAAACTCTAATTAGCACAATAATACCAATAAAGAGAAACTCCATAAAAATGTAATCTTAAAAGCGGTGAAATTAGAAACGGGTTCATCCAGACTACACAAAAACCTCTCTTCCTTCCCCAGCTCCACAGTCGAGGCTGGATGCTGCAATAGCAGCTACCACAGAGCAGACACTTGACGAGATTTGGAAATGGCCCATGGAGTGGATTTTAAATGAAATGAGGAACAGAAAAGGCCCTTGCTGATTTATTTGATCCCACCACTCATCCCGACAGGCTCCTAGAGCATCTTCCTTATAATCCATGAAAACAGTTGGAAAGCACATGACACACAAGGAAAAAGGCATGGGGAGGGAAGAGGGGAAAATGAATTCTTTCAGCAGGGCTGGTGAACAGTCTGCTCTTCCTCTTATCCCCCCCCCCCCCATTCAGCCTGCTGAGAACGGTCATCCAGCCCTCAGCCATCCAAAGATCTCTTGCTCCATCAGATCATGCTTGCCTTTCTCTCCTGCGACCCTGTAAGCCTGGGGTGGCCTCCCAGTGCTCCTCTTCGGAGCCTTCCTCGGGACCCCCTCCTCCTCGCCACAGACATTTGACACAAAGCCCCCAAGAACTCGCTGCTGGGAGAAACCCGGCATGGCAGAGAAACACGGCGTCGCCCAGGTGGCTGCCCGCAAACCACCCCTCCCGCCAAGCCCCGCTGACCTGTGTCTCAGTACCCCTCCGAGGCGGCGGCGCCCTCTCCAGCTCGCCTCACTCTCCCCTCGCTCGCACTCTCCCCATGCATGTGGCATGAGCCTCACCCCACCCAGATCTCGCAAAGTCAAAGCCCAAGGTGGCAGGTGGCGGGAAGCAGAGCCAGCCGGCGGGGAGAAGAAAACTGCAGGGAAGCCAGGCAAAGGAAGGAGCCCGGTCCCAAGGCCACCCACTCCCGGCAGCAGCGCTGCCAGCGTTAATGGGGCCCTTATTTATGCCTGACCCGGGGTGATCCCATTTTATTTCTACTCTTTAAAGTCCTGGACCTGTCGGCAGTGTTTTTGCACGTTGATAAACAAGAAGGAACCGGGATTTATCCTCCCGTCCATTAACCTGTGATCTTGCGGCTCGCAAATAAACGCTGAAGCGGCAGGCTCCCTAAGAACCCACCAGCCCCTTGCCCCCCTAACCAGCGCTGCAGATAGACCGGCAAAGGGTGGGGGTGGCAGGGCTGGAGGGGTTGCACAGCCAGCCGGGATGCAGGGGCTCTCTCCCGCTCTGGGAAGCCCACCGTCAGGAACAACGCTCTTGGAAGTATCCGGTTTCCTAAGGCTCTCGTCCTCACGGTCTGAGATAAAATGGGCAATTTCTAAGAATCTAGTCCTCATGATCTGGGAGCAATATACAGATAGTGTGCCGGAGAGCCAGGAGACTGAGATTTAGCCTGGTGAGCCAGCCACCGGTTGCTCCAAAGACCTATTTTTATTTGTTTTGTTTATTTGTTGATGCAAAGTGTTTATGTCCCACCCTTTACAGTGTCTCAGGCAATTTGCTGTGCCTGGAGAGATGTTCAAGGATTCTTAGGAGAGGTAGAACATTTTTTCCTCTCTGGTAGACAGTACGAAGCCTCTGTATTGGCCAAGCCAGAGATCAAAGCTTTCTCTTCGGTGGCTGGGCTGGCCAGTAGATGGATGTGGTGAAGGCCACGGAATTTCTCCGTGCAGCTGCTATGGAGAAATTTTGCACTTTCGAACCACTGCACATACCCAAACGCGGGGCGTCTTTGGAACTGGTGCTTCTCTGATTTCTGCCCTGGGGTTCTCCCGAGCCTGTCATCTGCGGCTTTGCTCTGAGTGAGAAGTAGTTCTTCTGGGGCCTTTTCTGTGGTGTCCCCCAAATTGTGCAGTGCTGTTTCTGGAGAGCTCTGCTGGGCACCCACATTCTTGACTTTCCCAAGGCCAGGCAAAGACCATTTTATCCTCCCAAGTCTTTTCAACGGCCGCTTGATTTGTTTTTTAATATGTGCACCTCTGCATTTTAAAACCATCTGCTTTGGTTTCTTTTTCCTTTTTCCTTTTTAAATGCTGAATGTTTGTTGTTGCTTGGAAAATAGAACTTCTGATGTGCATTATAATTGGTCTTTACCATCGGTTGGATTGTTCTTTGCTTTTATTATGGATGTCCTCCTGAGAGCCTTGGCTATAGGATGACTCATCAGTGGCATTAATCACCCTCAGCTCAAGATAGTCTGAGACCCTGGAGACTCACAGCCTGCCAGCACAGGAATAGGAGCGGCTGGTTTGACTCCCGAATAACCCTTTAATTCACAGAGCTGAGGAGTGCTTCTAATGAGAATCACATGGGACAGAGGGGTGTGGCCCCACCCCTTCTTCCACTCAACGGGATCACAGAAGCATCCTGTCAGAAGGGCTTCCAGAGATCATCTAGTCCGACCCCTACTCAATGCAGCTCCTCAATGCAGGGTGCAGCTGCAACGGACCAGGCAGGAAGCCACCCAGCCTCTGTTTAAATACTTCCAGCAAAGGAGAACCCACCACCTCCTGAGGTCCTGTGTTCCCCTGTTTTACTGTTAGGAAGGTCTTCTAACCTTCAGCCAATATCTGCTTCCCGGCAAATTTCTACCCTTTGGGTTTAGTCCTGCCCTCTGGATCAGCCA